AGTTTGTAACTGATGAGCAAGAAAGTTCAGGACTGAATTGTGTCTCCACGTAAATCGGTCGAGATAAAACTGACATCCAGCTACTATGGGTAGTAATGTTTCAGGGCTAAGACAAAAAGAACAGTCTGAATTTGAAGATATTGCCCATCTGTTTAGGTTTTTACGCGTCGGAAGAGAGTTGTTAATGTAACGAATGGTAAAGTTGTAAATGTTTTTCGGGAGCTTTGATTGGGCGACGGACCACCCCTTGCTAAGCTGAGGTAAAGCGAACTTCGTGACGCTGCAGAAAAAGGATCCTTGACTGGTTAATTGGTTTAGGAGTTTGTTTTCGTGTCCAGAACGGAAATCTTTGAGAACTTCCTTAGTAGAGTTATAAGCGTCATATTGGGTATTAGTATGGTTACTGGTTGCTCTCCACAGGTCGTTAGTTGATTCATTAGGAGAAGATTTTAAAGCTTTTCGGAGGACTGTTTGACACTGGATAAATTTTACAGATGGAGGATAAATACTCAGGCCAAATTTATTATTTGTTAGAAAGACAGTACTTAGTGATCCTGATATTGGTACTTCAAGCCATCTGCGGATATATTTGTTGGCAATAGAGTCGATATTTTCAGTAACCCATGTTTTAGAGAGTGTTGCGACGGTGAAGTGCCAGGCTAACTTGGACAAGACCTAGCGACTGTAGAGGAGCAGTTTATTTTTGGGGTGTAGTGGCTTTGAGTCAATATCAGACATTAGTTCATTAAGTAGGGTGGTTAGTTCAGTTTTGTGATTATCATTCGACATGTGGAAATCAAAGTAACGTTCTAAATATTGAAATGATTCTCCAATGGTGATTTTTGGTATTAGTTGATTGCTGATGAGGAGTTTTGGCAAGTACTGAACTGATTTTGTGATCGCTTTTTTAATGCCAAAGGTACTGCATTTGTCAACTCGGATAATCATATCGGACCATTGGCACCAGATAGAAAATCGATTTAATAGATGTTGGTTTTCGGATTTTTGGCCAGTAATTACAGCCGCGTCATCAGCAAACTGGAACCAATGGATAGGATTTAGTAATTTGAAGGAAAACCCAAATTGACGGTACTTTTCAGCCTTGATATGCTGAATGAATGTATTGAAACACATGTTAAAAAGAAGAGGACTGAGGCAATCTCCTTGCAATACGCCACGGCCAACTGTCATAAAAGGAGTGCGGAATTCTGAGGTAATTATCGAGGTTTGGAAATCAGTATATAAACTTTTTATAACAAATTTTATATGATCAGGGATATGGTGGTAGTCAAGTACGGATTGAATGAGGTTGTGATGGATTTCGCCGAAGGCATTCTTCATGCAGTCTTCCTGGAATGAATAATAATAATAATAATAATAATAATAATAAAGAATGCCGAATTTCAGTGTACTATATAAAGGATACCATATTTCAGTATACTCTAAAGCCACGGCGGTTTTTTGGTACATACCTTATAACCACGGCTGTTCGTGGCTAGAAGTATAACGGATTTTAGCAGCCTCGTACCCAAGCGCAAATAACATACTAAACATGGCAACACTACAGTGTTTTTATAAAGATCAGTGGCTTAGATGAGCGAGCGCGCGGGGGTACTTGGCAACTCCGTCGTGTCCTCCCCAAGCACCCCAGCGCGCTAGCTCATCATATATATATATATATGAGCGTGCTCATGAGATACCAAAATAAGATAGCTCATATATGTAAGAAAAAACAATTATGCTCGAGACTGTTCGAAACCAATTTGAAATAAGCATAAAAGTTTAAAATGTAGGTTTGAACTTTGAAGCAATTCCCTTATAAAGTGAATGTATATATACAATCATACTGAGTCTCCAGGCACTCAGACATGTTGCTTTGAAAATATTTCGACAGTAAAAAAGAGACATACAGTCCTTTCCAATGTGAATAAGTCAACCTCATACGACCTTGATTTTGGTTATCAGTTTCAGTCAGTGTAGATGACAATTTTCACATGGCCATATACGGCACCACTTCTCCTTGCGATAGTAACTCCTAGTAAAATAAACATGCTTGCTTTCTGATCCCAAAACGATTTTCTTTGCGCTTTGCCGAACTCAGTTCTGTAACTTACTAATCAAGCGAATAGCTAAACATATGCGCATTTTAATATTAAAATATTTCAGACATCGTTTTAAAGCTCTTGTTTGACATATATAAACAAATCCATGCAATACATGGAACGGCGCACCAATGAAAAATCAATATTGGCACAAGACTTTGAATATTTCATTTGAGATCACTTCTTGTCTGGACAAGAAACTCTACATACGTGGCAATAAAACGACTTTACAAGGAAGTGATATACGTCTGTTGTTTAAAACGATTCTTTCGGTTAAAAATTTCAACGAAACACTATTACAAATCTAACGAAAACAAAGACTGTGTATACACATATCTATATGCCTAGCTGATTATGTGAGGATAATTATACTTGAAACTGATTGAAGTAAGAATATAATTTGCTTTTATAATTTGCTTTTATATTTTAAGCACGGCGAATATAAAACATGCATGGCATTAAGCTGTCTATTTGGACAAGATTTGCAGAACACAGCAATCAGTATAGCATTAAGCATCTAATATTAACTTTATTTTTAATTTAGGAAAACAGCGAGTAAATATGGCATCGAATTATCCACTCGGATACGATGACGAAAGATTCGAGTCGATAGTGAACCAAAATTTCCACTGTTTGATTTGCTATAACGTATTGAAAGACCCCGTGACGTGCCGCAGAAACGAGCACTATTTTTGCCGCGGCTGCATCACGGAACATCTTCGTAGGAATTCCCATACATGCCCGACGTGTGCTGACGAGCTGAGTGTCGAAACATTGCAAGACGTTCCAAGAATTGTGAAGAATTACTTAAACGAACTAAGTATACGTTGCGATCATTACGACAGAGGATGTCGAGAACTCGTACAGCTGCAGAATTTAAAGCGACATATCACCGAATGCGGGTTTACTCCAGTCGTTTGTGGAAATCAAGGTTGTGGTGAGACAATCAGTAAAAGAGATCGTACATATCACGAGAGTGAACTGTGTCAATTTAGAAAGTTGAAGTGTCACAACTGTGGAGAAATCAGTACGATGATGGCGGAAATGAAAACGGAAATGGCGAACATCGACACGAAAATAGCGAACATCAACACGAAAGAAATCAGCATTATGATGGCGGGCATAGAAACGAAGATAGAAAACCTCGACACGAAAATGGCTAACATCAACAACAATCATGCGGATACGAGAACGAAATTGGCAAACACGAACACGAGCATGGGAAATATTAGAACGAAAATGGCAAATATGGACACGAAAATGGCCGATATCGACACGAAAATGGCAAACACGGACACGAGATTGGAAAACACGAACACGAAATTGGAAAACATGAACACGAAAATGGCAAATCTGCACGCAAACGTGGAAGCGAAGTTCGAAGCGATGAATAATGAAGTGAGAGGAATGAAAATGAGTTTAAATGAAGTAAAAGATGGCTTTGATCACTTGAAAGAAGCAGTACTTGAGAAGATAGAGAGCAAAGAAAGAAAGCAGGAGGAAATCACAAGAGATGTAAGTGGCACAGCGAGTGGCGGGAGAGAAAATCAACATATATTTGTTGCTGGTGGTTACATGAGAAACTCGGTAGAAATATTTAACTGCCATCAGACATTGTTATCAAAGCCCATGCCAGAGAATCGTCACAGCGCATCTTCATTTGTATACAATAATCATGTAACTGTAGCGGGAGGTTATTGTGATGGTCATGTAGATAACATGATCCGAATGAACATTCACCCTGTCCCTGATCTCTCAATTAACTGGAGTGATTTTGCTGCCAAACTTCCCGCCAAGATGCGTGCACACAGCAGTGTGGTGTACAAGGATAGCTTGTTGGTTACTGGAGGTTATAATGCAGATCAACGTGTGTTCTCCGACTGTATTCACGAAGTCCAACTTAAACCACCTTACGCTGTTAGACTGGCATCCAAGATGCCTGAACCAAGAGTTCGTCACAACACAGTACTATGTAATGATAGTATTTTGATCGTTGGGGGAACGAAATCATGGGACAGCGAAGACAACCTCAGCAGTGTGTTAAGCTATGACATCAAGAAGAATGTATGTCAACAGTTACCTGCGCTTACCTATCCAGTGAGTGAAATGGCGACAGTCAAGTGGGCTGAGAATGTCGTGATCATTGGTGGGGCTGACAAGGATGGTAAAGCATTAAACAATGTTATAATTTATAACATGAAGACTGGAAACAGTCATATGTTGCCTCCCATGTTACACAAGAGGAAAGGATGTATGGCAGTTGTTATTGAGAATACAATTGTTGTACTAGGCGGCGAGGATGAGAGAAGGAATGATTTGAAATCAGTTGAAAGTTTTAATTTCGAGCGATTTTCATGGCAGGAACTTCCTGACATGAAGGAAGAAAGATGCTGGGCTACAGCTGTTGTGATCTAGACATGCTTGTATACATGATGTAGAATGTCAAAACTTCGACATTTGCAACACCATAAAAATACAACACCATATATATATATATATATATATATATATATATATATATATATATATATATATATATATATATATATATATATATATATATATATATATATGAATAATTCGAATAATTCGAAAAATGTTAAAATTGCAACCAGTGGAAGACATCTTTTGGAAGCTAAAAGTAAAGCTTGGACGGTTGAAACTGGTTAAAAATTTATTTTATTTTAAAAATATTAAAAATATTAAAATATTAAAAATTTTAAAATAAATTTTTAACCAGTTTCAACCGTCCAAGCTTTACTTTTAGCTTCCAAAAGATATATATATATATATACCGGGTGGCCCAAAAAAAAGTACTCCTGTTTGATTCGTAATAACATCTAAACAAGTATAGCTTTTAAAGAGAAATAACTTGCATCAAATAGAGGAAGGACTAACTTAGACTTTGATATATTACAGTTGTATTTCCGACTTAAAAATTCGCGGAGATATTAATCTTTAAATTCGGGAGGATATTTCTGGATGTCTGAAATATGCAAAAATCGGCGTATCAAATATTAATCAAGATTTGCCCGACTGAAACATGCACTATTACCAGTAAATAAATGACACTTGACAAATTGTTTATTATGAAACAAAGTATTATTATATCTACAAAATACAAGCAAGATTCATTCGTCCGAAATTCGCGTGTGTTCCTAGCACGAATACGTTTCCTTATTTCATGAGACCACCGCATCGCGAAGGATCGTCATTGGATCGTTCGTAGTTCTGAATTAGGGCATGCTGTCACAACGGAATTGTGAAGCTCTTCTAACTTCTGCAACGTTCTGAAATCTTGTTAAGAACACCTAAACTCTTTTGCCGTTTCTTAATCTTGGCAAGTTCATGGAGTAAACTGAGAATTATATGAAACACAATCAAACCATACAACTCCATAAGACATAACAATTAAGCAACTCCCCAGAGACATGCAACATTTTTTGAACAAAACGTAACAAAATAGTAGCGTTGATACGGTGATGTGTATTTGCAAAAAGCAATATTATTTCCTTCAATAAAGAATAATATTCATCCTGCTCTAACCGAGAAATAATCTACTCAGTCTGTTTGAACCCATTAAAAACATAAAAAAATTAGGCTATTTAAGAATACGAAAAATTTAAGCGCCTGCCTTCCATGGTCAGTCTTTCATGTACATTTAAGTTTGTAAAGACCTAATATTAAATACTTGCATAATTTCGAACGTTCATATTTCAGGAAACAATGAGCTAAGACTTACATGTAAGATGTCTAAATCTACGCCATATCCCTTACAAATCTTAACGATAATTCGCTGAAATACAAGTTAGCCTAATATGTCATTAAGCAAACAAACGCTGGAGTTAATATTTGATATGCCGATTTTCGCTAATTTTAGACACATTCCAAAATATGCTCCCCATTTTTAACATTAATATATCCGTGAATTTTTAAGTTAAATACAACTGTAATATATCAAAATCTAAGTTAGCCCTTCCTCTATTTAATGCAAGTTATTTCTCTTTAAAAACTTTACTTGTTTAGAAGTTATTACGAATCAAACAGGAGTACTTTTTTTTGGGCCACCCGGTAGA